CGGACCCGAACCTATTGTGACTATCACTTATTGTTCTCACAATGGCCATGGGAGAGCAAGCCACCACCAATGCAGACCTGGGCGCTGGCTTGTGCTGTTGACAAATACTCCAAGTATTAAGTGGAACGGAAACCTAGTGTAAACAGTTTTTCTCCTCCTCTGCTCAAGCAGAGCATATAGATAGGAGAGGTTTTTACCCTGTTCCAGTCATGCTTTCCTAGCAACTATGATAACGTGCATATCATCATAATGTATCAATTATTCATAACAGAGTTTTTTCTCTTTCTCTCCAAGTTGGGGAGAAGGACCCACCCACAAACACACATCTCCACTCCATTCACTCCTTCCACTCACTCACTCAAAGTAGACTGTTTACATCAAGTGTTGTGGTTGCTGGCGATTATGCCGCGAGTGATGTGTTGTGTGAGTGGTGTCAATGTTGCAGATCAATGACTGCAATGTCAGTGGTTCCCGACGTGTTGTTGCTAAGGTGTGCTTGCTGGTGTTGGGGATCGAGACAGACAGTCAATGTGCTTGTTTTTTCATGTGTGGGTGCGCTGTTTCCAACTTTCCTAACTGCTGAGGGTTGCCCCGCTGTCCCCTTTTAATTGGGAGGCAGTGGCACCGCCTGGGAGACATCTCTGAGTCACAGTACCTGGGATGCACAGAGTCAGAGGTTCAGGGGGTGTAAGCTTTTGGGTCTTTTGAGGTAAGCAGTGAGCGGGAGCTTTGACCTGACACTGTGGGGCACAGGGGCACCTTGTGCAAGGATGACTTGCAGCATTTTGCAAGTGATGGTCCTTGTAACAGTTTTGTATAAAGACAAACACAAGACCGACAGGAGCCAAACTCAACCTCCCATCACCACCACCTTCAGTAGTGCACTACCTCCATCTCCACAGCAGCACAACCCACAGACAATCCACCCCAACGAATTCTTTCAGGTGGCGTTGCTGGGAGACATAATGACACCCTACTCCAGCAATTGAGGTAGTGGGGCTCGAACCCACGGCATCTCGCATGCAAAGCGAGCTATCTACCACTGATATATACCCCCCCTTATGTCCATGGTTGACTGTAAACTCAAAACCAAAGAAAACTGTCTTAGAGTCCATCAGGGTGCTGGGCTGCTGCGCCAACTGGCCGCTTCTACATGCTCAACACTCACTGCATCCCAAGGCATCAAGCATCAGTACAAGTGGTAGAAGATTCTCTCTTGGGATGCACTGCCAGGTGACAGGGAAAGGAACCTGGTGCTAATGCTCCCTCTGCCCTCTGCTATGACGGAAGGTGTCTCTGTTCTTGTTTCACATTGAACCCAGCCTGTGCAGAAAGGGTCAGAGACCAACACCTTTCCAAATTTGCCCAACTTATCAGCAAGGTTCTGCGTTACTCTTCCCGCCTTGGCAGCAGTTCTCTAATTATCCTGGTTTTGAGATGATGGCATAGACTGGGAACCATGGGAAGGGTGCATCAGTGCATGATATGCTTGAATCAAATCTAGCTAAGTGTTTGGCAGAGGGGGGTTTACAGCAAAATCCAACAGTCAGAGATCCCTCAAGTGGGAGAGGCCAGTACTACTTATTGGTGGCAATGCAGCTGCTGGGCAAAATGTGCATTGCGAAACTGAGCAGAGTGGGATGCAAACCCACGCCTCTGGGGAGACCAGAGCTGTAATCTGGTGACTTAGGCTGACTTGGCCATCTGCCCATGGACATGCAGCCATCTGCTAGGGTGCACTTTGGTCTTGCTGCACATGTTGTGCTACTGCTTGTGAACCCCAGCAGTTGCACACGCTTCATTCCCAAGTTTGCAAGTTTGTACAAATTTGGCTCTTTTTTCAAAAGGCAAACTGTGAGCCAAGCGTTGTTGGCCATTGCAGTTATTGCAGGTGGGTCTCCACTCATTGGGTGCAACCTACCACAGCTGCAAAAGTTTGAGTGCGGCAAAGTTTCACTGAAGAGATGACAAGTCCAAGTCTGCCTGACAGCACAGTTAAAGGGGGTGCCAGTGAGACCTTTGGCGCCCTGGGGCACAAGCTAACCACAGGACAGGGCAAGGCAGACAAGGAACTAAGAGGAGTGATGATTGTATTGGAAACAATAATTCACTTGAGGGATGGGACAGGTCCCCCATCCCCCTTTTATACCTTTTGAGCGTCTTCCTTGTCAAGACTCAAAGAAAGTTCCAGAAAGAGCAATTAGCAATACAATGATACCAATGATACCAATGACAACAAGACAAGTCAGGAAAGCAAAGAAGGTTCCAGAAGGTTCCACAAGGTTCCATGAAGGAATGTTCTAGAAGGTTCCAGAGGTTTCCAGAGGGTGATTCATAACACAACTGAACGTAGAGTTGCAGAGTTGCAGAGTTGCAGACTAGCACAGTGGCTGAGTTGCGGCAGAGTAGCAGAGTGGCAGAGCAGAGCAAAGAGTTCAGGGAGTGCACTCCAGGGGACCATGACTACGCTACTCTCTGACTTTCAGACTCTCAGACTCTGCAACTTGGCAACTCAACCCCACTAGCAACTCTGCAAATCTGCAGCCAGGCAACTCCACGGCTTTGCGACACAGCAACTTTGCCACAACTTGGCAACTCTGTTGTGGAAGCGCCAGCTGCTTCCTTTGTTGCAGAACACGCCTTACAAACGCGTTTCCCTTGTGTTTGTCATGTTGCTTTTGGGCTTTGAGCAGTGGATGGAGGCTTGTGTTGAATGGAGACCAATTCCGCGTCACCCACCAGTTCCACACACAGATTCTCCTGGAGTACCCCACCCTTTGTCTGCCAGGAGTAGGCAGTCTCACCAGGCTTCCACACTGTGACTCTGTAGCCCTGTTACTCTACGCTTCTGTTACTCTGCAGCTCTGCAACTCCCTGTCTCCACAACTCTGTGACTCTGCAACTCTGCAAATTCACTCTGCACTGCTAATCTGCAACTCTGATTTTCTGTGCTACTCTGCAACTCCACTGCTCTGCTGCAACTCTGCAACCCCTTGACTCTGGGACTCTGCCTCTCTGCTGCTCTGGCACTTGGCCACAACTTGGCAGCTCTGCTACTCTGCCGCAACTCTGCAACCCTGCAACTCTGCAGCTCCACTCTGCTTGTCAGCTACTCTGTTACAACTCTGCATTTCCACCACTCCACGATTGCAAGCACTGTTTGTGCAACCAGCACACAACTGTGGCTCTGCAGGTTCATTTTAGGACAAGACTGCGTCAGAAATGTGGCATGATAATCAGCCACCTGCTAGGAACATGGTGGTTCATGAGGAGGAAAGCTTCTTAACCACAGTGCGCTTTTCACTCAAACATGTCTCACACAGAGGCACTCATCAGGCAAACAAGGCATCTCCGCAAACGTTTGAATGTGACAGCCAAAAAGCCCATCCTCTAGCTAGAAGTACAACTTGCTACAGGTGAAGTGAGATGGTGGGAGACTATGAGATCCTCTACATCTCTGAAGGCTCATCCCATAGTCTAGTGGATATGTGGGGAAAGGACAAGTCATCAATGATGGGGAACTCCTGGTTCTAAGGGCCAGTACCCTGGTGTTGGTGTTAATACTACTCTCTATGTATGCTCTGAAAGCACAGATATACCAATCAATAACTGTCATGAGTCATTGCTGACTCATGAGTGCCATAACAGCCATGGACAAACATACAGAGACAAGTCTCCACATGAATGAATCATGGGTGCCATAGGCATGAGATGACAGGGTTAAGCCCTGGGACGCCCATACAGGACGGGATGGTATCCGACATACCAACTTGATGTGGAAGATGAGACAGGCTTGACTTGAAGAGGGAAGAACCTGATGGTGAAGTTGTGCTCAAAAGAGTGGTGCAATGGCAGATTACTGTAAGTAACAAAGAAAGCTTGGCCCACTCTGCACTAGCCTCTCTAAGTTCTCATCTCAGTCGACCCAACCCAACTTGGTCTTCACACACTCTTGCTTTGGGAAGGGGGCACTCACACAGCTTGGCCTACTCTGCACTTGCCTGGGGGAATGCTACCTCTACTTGCTTGGTCTGGGGGCTCTGGCCAAAGAGGACTTCTAATCCACCCTGCTTGGCCTACTCTGCACTTGCCAGGGGATCTCCTACACCAAAAGAGGACTCTGTCTTCCCTGCTTGGCCCACTCTGCACTTTGCCAGGGAAGGTCTCCCATCCACCACACACATGGTCTTTTGGGGAGCACTCACCTTACAACACCCTGAAAGGAGATATGAGGGACGCAACTAGTCAAACAGGGGCTGCCCAAGGGGGAGTCTTATTGATTGTTTTTGAGTTGAGAGTTATTATTGAAGAGAAGAAGGGGGGAAAGGGGCAGTATTTATGGGGATCAGAGAGAGAAAGAAAGAAGGAGGAAGAAAAAGAAGAAAAAGACAAAAGATAGTAAAAAGGAGAAAATGAAAGAAAAGAACAATTTGTAAGAATGAATCATCTTTCAGCCACACCCCCCTCCACCCAGTGTCTCTCCTGCCTCATATTTGAGATGGGCTGAAATTGAGGGCTGGGAGGCCACATCAGTGCAGGGACAGAGGCTTGAAAGGTGGGAAAAATGGAAAATAAGAGAAAATGAGTAAAAATAAGAAGAAATAAAGGGTGTGCGCCTTGTGCTTAGGCCCATTCAGCACAAGGAACACCAGATGCTCTTTTTGATGCAGGGCATCAGCACTGAGTTACTTTTGAAAGTAAGAATAAGTATTCAAACATAGGAATAGAGTGGTTGTTTGTGATTGATGGGGGGGCCACTATACGTAAAGGTAAAACCAATGAACTAGTCAAGGAAGAGCTTTTAAAGAGACCTCAACAGCTCAATGGCCCATGAGATTAGGAATCTCATAAGACTACCAGAAAGGGTTAGATTTTCTGCAAAGACGGGATGAAGGACGGATGTCTTAGAGCATGGTGCAATTTTCTGCCAACAACAGCCATACATGGTGGTGGAATGGTTTACAACAAACCATTGGCAGATTGCTTCAAATATTTAACCAAGGCCACACTCGGAATCGAACCGGGGTCCCCAGAATCTGAATCTGATGTGATAGCCCCTACACTATGCAGCCAGATAACAGCTAGCACAATAGGCTTCTATATGAGGATAGCAATTTGCCTTTCGCCAGAGACTGGTGCACTGTTAGTGGTTTGGTTCACCTGAGGCGAGGCCACAGCAACTTGGGGTCCAATTTAAACAAAGTTGACCAGATTTTCTTGCACAGAATCAATCAAACTTGGGGCCAAAAGCTATTTGCAATCTGGTCTGGGATGGAAGGAAGTTTGGTGTTTTGCGTTCTTTGCACTCTGTGCAGCAATTCTCCTTTTGTTGGTACTTGATCCGCAGCTTTGTTGTTTGCTAGGGTTGACAAGAGTGGTGGTTTGTTTTTATTTTTATTTTTTGTTTCCCACACTACTTATCTCCCACAAGTCACATGACATTGGTACTGCCGTTACGCTACCAAATGCATTGGGTCCCAGGGTGTCCCCTTGTCTCCAAAGCAGTAAGCCTGCATCCCTAACTGGCCCAGTAACGCCTTGATCAAATTGCTTTACCTCAGTTAACAACTCCAGTGCCATCACTGTACACCAACACTTTTTGCTGTGGTCATGTGCTGGGGCTCTGTGGTGGCCACTGAGACCCCAATGCCTTCATTGCTTGCCAACCTTGCACCAACACACGCAGCAGCTGCCTTGCAATCACCTCCACCTCCAGTGTCCTAACCCTGCCTACCCCAATGTTGTTGTCCTTTCTGTTGCTGCTGACGGTCCAAAGCAAAAAGTATGCCAAAAAGTATCGCAATAGTTTTAGTGAGCGTATGGCCAATCTGTCTAAGGAACACAAATATCTGAAAGTCCAGAAATGTAAATCAAAAGTCAATTACAGTACTGAGCAAAATGCAAAATCATAGGTCTATCTGCTGGATGACCATGCCTTTTTGGCCTCGACAACAATGGCGAGTGCAACCATCTGGCTGTTGACACAGGTGCGCAAACAACAAACCAACAGCCAACAGCAGCAAGTGTTGCTGTGACACTTGCTGATGCAGTTGTGGTTGAAGGTCTTGTACGACGCCAGCTGACGTCATTGGCAGAGGCAGATGGTGTTAGGCGGAACTGACTGGTTTGCAGCAAGAGGTACAAGACAGACCCGAACCTACTGTGACTGTCAGTTATCGTTCTCACAATGCCCATGGGAGAGCAAGCCACCGCCAATGCAGACCTTGTCAGGAACAGGGCAGGACAGGGCAAGGCAGACAAGGAACTGAGAGGAGTGATGATTGTATTGGAAACAATAATTCACTTGAGGGATGGGACAGGTCCCCCATCCCCCTTTTATACCTTTTGAGAGTGTTCCTTGTCAAGACTCCAAGAAAGTTCCAGAAAGAGCAATTAGTAATACAATGATACCAATGATACCAATGACAACAAGACAAGTCAGGAAAGCAAAGAAGGTTCCAGAAGGTTCCACAAGGTTCCATGAAGGAATGTTCTAGAAGGTTCCAGAGGTTTCCAGAGGGTGATTCATAACATCATCTCCCCCTTTTAGGCCTCTTCTGCAACTTGGTGGGGTACCTGGTCTTGAACTCGAGCAGAAGGTCTTGGCAGTTTCACAATGAAGTCCATGGATATTGATGACCAAGGGCTGAGGGCAATTGGGAGGGGCTCCGGAAGTCCATAGGGCTTGTGTCTGCTGGATTTGTTTCTTTGACAGGTTTCACAGCTGCTGACATAGTTCTTGATGTACTTCCTCATGCCTGGCCAGTAGAAGTCTCTGGAAACAAGCTCATATGTCTTGTGCTCTCCTAGGTGTCCAGCTGTTGCTGCATCATGCCTTGTCTTGAGTATCTCAAGTTTTTCCTCTTCTTGGCTGATTTGAATCTTGTGAGGCTTGGGGTCCTTGGAAATAGCATGGGCCCACACACTGTCAGGAAGCAATGAAAGGTGTGTCTTGGATGGTGGGGTGAAACCATCTCCCCCTTCAGGTGCAAGGTCTGTTCTTCTTGACAGGGCATCAGCCACAGTGTTAAGGTGGCCAGGAGAATAGCACAGCTTAAAGTCATACTCAGAGAGCAGTTCAGCCCACCTGGCATGCCTCTGCTTGAGCAACCTCCTTGCCCTGAAGAAGGTGAGGTTCTTGTGATCAGAATAGACAGAGATGCCTTTAGAACCAGCCAAGTAGTGTCTCCAGAATTTGAATGCTTCCACAATTGCAAGCAACTCCTTGTCATGGACTGTGTAGTTACACTCAGCACTGTTCAGCTTCCTGGAGTAATATGCCACTGGATGCAGAGGAGCAGAGGGTTCCTGAGAGCTTGGCTGGGACAGAACAGCGCCAAGGGCATAGTCTGAGGCATCAGTTTCCAAGGTGAAGGGAAGCAAGGGATCCACATGCTTAAGGAGTGGTGCACTTGTGGTTGCTGTCTTAAGAGCTAGCCAGGCTTGCTCTGCTGCTGGGGTCCATTCAAACTTGGTGGTCTTCTTGGTGAGATCAGTGAGAGGCTTGGCTATGGCAGAATAGTTGGCAATGAAGGTTCTGTAGAAGTTGCAAAATCCAAGGAAGCTTTGAACATCCTTGATGGAATTTGGAGCCTTCCATTCAAGAATAGTTTGGATCTTGTCTGGTGCCATGGAGATCCCTTTGTCAGACACAATGAATCCCAAAAACTCAATGGAGGTCTTGTGGAATTCACACTTCTCCAGCTTTGCATAGAGGTGATGCTGTCTGAGTCTCTCCAAGACAGTCTTGACATGTCCCATATGGCTTGCAGTGTCAGATGAAAATACCAGGATATCATCCAGGTAGACAATGACAAAAAGGTCCAGAATATCCCTGAAGATGTCATTCATCATGCCTTGGAAAATAGCTGGAGCATTGGTAAGTCCAAAGGGCATAACCAAGTACTCAAAGTGACCGTATTTGCATCTGAAGGCAGTCTTCCATTGATCCTGGGGCTTAATTCTGACCAAATTGTAGGCACCTCTGAGGTCAATCTTGGAAAATATCCTTGCATGGCTCAGTTTGTCCAGTAATTCAGAGATGAGAGGCAGTGGATAGCGGTTCTTGACTGTCATCTCATTGAGATCTCTGTAGTCCACGCAGGGTCTCAGCCCCCTATCCTTCTTCTTGACAAAAAAGATGGGAGCTCCAGCTGGTGACTTGGAAGGTTGGATGAATCCCTTGTTCAGCATTTCTTCAATGTATTCTTGGAGGGCCTTGGCTTCTGGTGGAGAGAGGTGGTACAGTGGCTTGAAAGGTGGGCTGCAAGTTTCATCCTTGAGTGGGATTTCACAGTCATAAGGCCTCTGAGCTGGTAGCAGGTCTGCCTTGGTCTTGGAAAACACATCAGCATAAGGGAGATATTCTTTTGGTAGCTTGGATGCCAGCAAAAGGTCTGATGGGTCCAGGTTGTCGTGCTCCTCAGCAGTGGGGCTTGAATTCTTGACTGGGAACTGTGATTCTTGAATCTTTGACTGAGAGTTCTGTTCTTGGCAAAGACTGTGAGCTGTGGAACTTGAATCTTGAATGTGGACTGTGAACTGTGGTACTTGAATCTTTGACTGTGGGTTCTGTGAACAAGAGTCATGGCCATGACTGTGAGCTCTATGAGCTCTACTTGAATCTTGACTGTGAACTGTGAACTGTGGAACTTGAGTCTTGGCTGGCTGTGAATCTTGAATCAAGGGCTTGAGAGCATGAGACTTGGGGGCTTGACTTGAGTTTTGGGTGACTGTTCCAATTGGTGGAGGTTGGACTTGACCAGTGACCCAATCAATGGCAGGGTTCTGGGCTTGCAGCCATGGTAATCCCAGGATGACAGAGAATGTGGGTGAGCCAAGATCCAATACTTCCAGATTGACCATGGATGGTGGAAAGTCTTGGATGTGGAGGTTTAGCTTGGTTTCATGGCTGATTTCCTTGAACAGAGCATGATTGGCAAAGTGGACCTTGAGGGGTGTGGATTTCTTGATCGTAGGAATGGCACAAGACTTGGCAAGGGTGGCATCAATGATGTTGCAGGATGATCCAGAGTCTATAAGGGCCTTGGTTGTGATGGTTGACTTGGGTGAGAGTTGAATCTTGACATCCATGGTGAGTTGGTGGGGCTTGGAATCTGAGGTGTTTGTGGTGCTGGTGGTGGTGATGAAACAGGGGCAGCTTGGAGGAGGGTCCAGGGAATTGCCCCTCAGTGAGCCTGGACCTGGGAGTTTGGGTGCTTCTTCCTTGGGCAGTCCTTGACAGCATGCTCCTTGGAGCCACAGTAAAAACACAGTCCCTGCTGGGCCCTCCTTGCTTTCTCCTCTTGGCTCAGAGGACCCTTAGGAAGTGTCTCAACTGCATCCACTTGCATGGGTTCAGGAACTGTAAGAGCTTGAGGAACTGGGGTAGGTCTTGATGTAGTTCCTACTTGTCTTTGCTTCAGCCTCTTGGAGTAGAGTCTGTTGTCAATCTTGATGGCAAGGAGAATGTACTCTTCCAAGGTCTCAGGGATGTGCAGAGACTGGGAGAGCATGTCTTGGATAGACTCATGGAGACCATCATGGTACAGCTCCATCAGAGCTGCATCATTGTATCCAGAGTCTCTGGCTAGTTGCTTGAATTGGTTGGTGTAGGCCACACAAGATTGCTTTCCTTGCTTGATATGCTTGAGCTTGGATCTTGCTGTCCAAGATGCGTAGGGGTCACCAAAGGTAGCTTCCAGCCCCTCCCAGAGCTCTTGCAGGGTGGTGGGTGTGCTTGGGAGAGATCTGTACCATGATTGAGCTTGACCAGACAGGAGGGTGCTTGTGAAAAGAACCTTGACTTGCTCACTGGGAAATCTTGAAGGTTGGAGAAGGATGACATTCTCCACAGTGGCCATGAAGTTCCTAAGGTCTTTGGCCAGCCCAGTGAACTTGTCAGGGCTGGGAACCTTGGGCTCTCTTGCTTGGTTGGCTTGAGGCAGGGGAAGAGCTTGATGTTCTTGTTGGTGAAGTTGTTGTTGAAGCTGGTGCTGCTGGTGAAGGACTTGTTCTTGAAGTTGGTGTGTCTGTCTTGAGAGGGCTTGTAATTGGTCCATCAAGGCTTGGA